TAATAGTTAAAAAAGAAAAAATTGATTTTAAGTTTATAAAGGCTAAGATCTTGAAATTCACCAAATGAATGGTCTAGATACGTTTTTGGAAGGGACTCATCTTGACTATATCTAGGGTTCAAATTGAACTTCTTTTTTTTTTGAGATTGATTATTGAGATGAAAAGAGTGTGTCTGCAAAATTTTGGGTCATACATACCACAAACATGGTTTTCTAGAAGTGTCGTTGCATTATACTATGATACAACCGTTGCATTGCATCATTGCTTTATATATATATATATATTAGTGATATAATCTGACATATCAGTTTATACACCATACATACACTGATATTCAATGTATATATTAGCAAGAAATTAATCATACACTGATATCTTGGTAATATATGTTGATAATTCTGTGGGTGCACCATATAGACAAACATATCAGTGATATAAATTGGTATATCAATTTCCACACCATATATTTACCATGACAAAAGGTGTCCATTGCCAAGGACAACCAACTATACCTGAAATATTGAGCAATGTAATTGTACAAAGTGAGATCTAACAATGCAATTCTACGTGTTGAGTTCCTATCAAGGATGCTAGAAAGACCTTAAATCTCTCACAAAAATGTGCCCCCTCATTCTTATCTTCACCATAACACATGATAAGGTGATAAAACCTCTTCACCAACCTTGGATCTCTTCCATGATATTAAGTATCTAGACTCCATAGGAATTCTATTTGTTGCATTTGCATGTTTAACATGTGAAGCCTATAATTGCAACAGGATGCTCATAAACAGTGCAAAAGCATAACATATGTAAAAACTAATAGTATTACCTGTTGGCACATTTACATACAAATAAACATTCCATAAAAAGAAAAACATTTGTTTAGTATTTCCAACATGATCTACATCAGGAATTAAAATTTTGGTACAAGCCCATTCTTCAACTGAACTACAAATAAGTATGTGCTCCCGTTTTGAACAAGTAATGTACATACCTGAAGAAAATAGAGGTCAAAACATGAAAACCCCAAATCAAAGAATCTTGGTGGTTTTTATGTATTGAAGGTACAGCAGAGTATTGTAAGAAATTGTCGCTAAAAGAACAATGGCCATTGAAAAAATAATACTTATCATCTTTGTCCATTTTGGTCTATAATTTTGTCATAAGTTTTATTAGATATTTATTTATTGATTGACAAAAAAGTACCTGAAAAAATCTGTTTCATTCACATTGTTTTATTTGTTTTGCAGAGTTATTGTTTTAGCAACAAATCAATCAAGAAAAAAATTATTATTATTAAGAAATAATATTGAAGTTCCAAAGGAGGACCACCCAGAGCACCCAGCCTAGGTACTTGGGTTGGGTTCTTTTACAAAAATAAAAGAGGAAAATAGTAAGTTTTAGGTTCATTTCAATCCCCTTCGAGTAAAACATCAAGAAACTAGATTTTTGTGAATTCCATGTGATTTCCCTGGATTCCTTGGATTTTAGGTTATTTTACTGGGCTGCCTAGGTTATGGGCGCCTGCCCACCTAGGAGCTGGGCTGCTGTGACACCCGGCATTTTTTGGAATGCTAATATTCTATATATGATTCACGAAATGATACAATCACAAAATTAATAGATGATCTCTCTTGAAAAATTAGTATTACCATTAGATCACATACTTATCTTTCACTGTGATTTACTGAAATCACCAATTTTCTCCGAAACCACAGAATATTTTTTGACGCACATATATATTTTTTCTTAGCCTTTACTGTGGTTTTCACTTTTTACTAACCATTTTTGGATTTAATGAGGCATTGTTGGGTAATTTAAAACAAAGATACTGTTTTCTAGGCACCGATTTGATGCCTGGCACTGTAAACCATGGGGTTTTATTCACAAATTTCGATTTGCAGTCTATTCACAAATTTGATTTAACCATCAAAGAAGAACGTACAATTTAATGTTGGAGTTTATTAACCATTCATGAGTTGGGTTTTAGCCAACTCATGAATCGTTAATAAATTCACAAATAAATATATGGTTAGGGTTGAAGCAATATTGTGATTTACTGAATGTAAATTAGCCAAATACGGTTGAATTTTTCTGTTAAAGAACTGAATTCAGCAGGATTATTTTTTGTTTTGCTCAGAGAATAAAGTTTCCAATTCGAATTTAGGGTTTTTCTGGTGATCTACAGACTATAAATTAAAAACAAAAGATTTTGTTACTCACCAATTTCGTCGCCCTATCGCTGAAAAATGAGTCCTCTGGGTTTCTCTCACACTGAAATTTAGTGGTTGCGAGAGGCCGAGCGATGGCAACCACAGGCAGCAGGCAGCAGGCAGCAGGCAGAACGAGTGAATGGAGAGGGATTCTTCGCAGAAAAGTGAGGGATTGATATGGAAAGGGAGAGAGATGAACAAGGCTCCTGGGAAAAGGAAGGGGTCGAGAGAGAAAGAGGGAAAGAGGAGACAGGTAGGGAGCGTCTCTGAAAATTTAACAAGAAAAGAGAATAAATGCGACGAGAGAGAGAGGATAAAGACGGGTAGCGAGAGGGAGTTTAGAGGGAAAGAGAACGTCTGAAAATCTCTCCCTTTCTATTTTTTTTTTTTTATTTTTCCTTGTTAATAATGAAAACCCTTTATCTATGCCGTCCATCTCGTCCAAGTTAAATGGACGGCCTATGCAATTACCGTACAATTTCGTTAGTCGGCGTCGCAAAGGTTCCTATACATACAGAGGGAAGTATCATGCAGTAGTTTTATGGCGTGCAATAGCTTTATCGCAACACAACCGAGCAAACTTTAAAATAAAATAAATAAAAAAAACCAAGACTACCATTTCCATGTGAATACACTTTCTATGCAAATATCCCTAACTAATAAAATTAAAAAAAATACCTAAATTATTCTCTTTTAATTTTACCTTATCCATGCCTATTTTTTATGTGTAAGTGCATTTCGATACGGTGTAAATGCGCTCCAGCAATGCAACAATCTAGAGTCACAGCGCTCCAGCACTGTTTATGTGTGTTTCGACAGTGAATCATATGCTCTGACACTGTGTAAATGTGTTTCGACAGTGGCACTATGTATGTGTGCTCTAACAGTAGATGTGCACTCCGGCACTGTGTAAGTGCTCTCCAACAACACAACACTATGGAGTCACAGCACTCTGGCACTCTCTATGTGTGTTCCAGCAGTGGATCATGCACTCTGGCACTGTGCAAGTGCGCTATGACAGTGGAATTTGGAGTCAACGCCTCGGCACTGTGTATGTGCGCTCCGATAGTAAATGATGCGCTCCTACACTATATAAGTGCGCTCCAGCAGTGCAATACTATGGAGTCACAGCACTCCAACACTGTCTATGTAAGCTCCGACAGTGGATCATATGCTGCGGCACTATGTAAATACGCTTCGGCAATATAACACTCTGGAGTCGTAACATTCCAATACTGTGCATGTGTGCTCTAGCAGTGGACCATGCGCTTCGACACTGCAGTGGTTCGCTTTTGCAATGAACGTTGAAAGTCAAGGTCAAATATGGCCAAATTGATTTATATGGACAAGAAGGATACTTTTGCTTAAAAAATTAAAAAATTTCTCTTGGAGGGTATTTGTATAGAAAGTGACTTTTTGAAAAAAAAAGTGAGAGAAAAACTTAAGTTGGAACCAAGTTGTATAGAGAGAATGATCTCGGAGGTTTTTTGTGATTTTTCCTTAAAAACTATGTTTATGTCATTTGGATCCCAAATTTTAAATATTTATTTTGTTATTTTAATAAATAATTATATTTATATTAAAAAATGTAGACAAAGAACTCGATCCTCGATTTGATTTTTTAAGCCCTATTATGACTGATTGACCCGATTCCCGCTCCTAATCGCCGATTCGAATCGGTTTTTTGGGAGCCGATCCGAGTCACCTGTCCGTTTTTTAAACCATTGCCTTCGAGCCTATGCGCTGGCATCACCTACACTTGATTGAGCATCCAAAAATGCCTCGACAAATGGCAACAATATTTGCCCTGCAACTAACCAAATTCAGGAACACTATTTGCCCTGCAAGCTGTGAATATGTCCACGAACCAGGGGGATTTCTAGGGCGAGAGGGTTTTCTAGGCTGGAGTATGGAGTATCCGTTAAAGCAACAGTCACAGGGAGAAGACCATGGCTTATCTGCCGCTATCCTTCATTAATTCCCATAAACTTAGCTACTCAAGTAAAGGCCCCTAAACCAACAAAACCCATCTCCAAAAGGTCTTACATCAAAACTCCCCAAAAGAAGAGCTTACCCTTACAATCCCTCTAGGACTCAGATGATGGATCCCTCCTAAACTTCTTCGTGGAATACAAGGCCCGAGCAAAGAGCTCCGCGACATGTTGTTGAGACACAAGAACCATCTCTACATGGGTCCATGGATCAGGAGGTTTTCTAGGGCGAAGAGAGAGAGGGCTCCGGCTCTGCGTCTCCTTCGGGTAACGAGGAGGAGGAGGTGGGAGCCGCGAGAGCCATGGGTAGAGAGAGAAGACAGAGAGAAGGGTTGGTTCGAGAGAGAAGACGGAGACTAGGGTTGGGTAGAGAGAGAAAGCCATGGGCAGAGAGAAGGTTTGGTTAGAGAGAGAAGATGTAGGGTTGGGTAGATAGAGAAAGAGGGAGGCGAGCTTTCGTTTTTATTAGAAATTAGCCGCTGAAGGCGTGATAGATTTTTTAGCCCTCCCGGTGTGTAATGGTTTTATGACTCTTATCACTTTTATGGGATTTTGGAAAATCTCGAAAATTTTATTTTTATTTTTTTATTATTAAAATGTACCTATAAATTTTATATTTTTTGTAATTTGTTTTTATGTAATAGATTTACATGTATTCAAACGCCCCTCTGATATGTTCTCATTTAATAGATTTATAGGTGCCCAAACGTCTCCTAAATAAAGATTTACACCTACCCAAAGGGCCCCTAGATTTACACCTACACAAACGGCCCCTAAGTAAACAATAAATGAGATTTAAAGAAAGCTAGTGTACCGAAAAGCTGATGAATACCATTAATCAAACCCAAATTGGGAGGGTTTCAATGAAGGGTTTTAAGATGGAATGAAACTAAAAGATGTAATAAATGAAACTTAAAGAGAGCTCATAAAATGTGTTTTGACAGTGTAATAGTTTGGGTTAAAAGTTCAGTTTTGGGTTGGGTGGAGTTTAGATAAGGTCTACGTTCGATCGGATAGAGCTTGCACACTTAAATGTCCAAATAAATGGTCTAGATTTATTATTAGAAGGGATTCTTTTTTACTATATTTGAAGTGCAAATTGAATTTTAGTTTTTTGGGATTCATTATCAGGATGAATAAAGTGTGTGCAATATTTGAGATCCATCAAATACCATCAACATGGTTTTTTTGAAGTGGTTTTGTTATAGGACAGTTTATAGGAGTCCATGTAGAAATGACCTCCCTCTTAAAAATTTATTTTTGAAATGGATTTTTTGACTAATTTTTAATGACATATTATATCTAACATGAAGATTGTGAATATGAAAAAATAAATAGATTTTATAAATGAAAATAGTAATTTTATAAATAAAAATTGGGCTGTGAGGTTCAACTATTTTAAAATTAAAATAGTAATTTTATAAATAAAAAAATTATACCATGAGTTTCAACTATTTTTAGATGGACCGCCTATTTGCATCCATCTTTAAGATTAAGATCGATGGTTTATAAGGGATGCAAAATTAGAAATGCGCCCCCCGACACATGGAACTATTTTCCATCATTATATTACAATGATACGGTGACATGAGATCATCCCCCATATATATGAGTATTTTCTTAAGATACTCAATATTTTTTAACACTTATAAATCAAAATGGTGGACCAATCTAAATCTTCACACTGTCACACCAAAGACTGACAAAAGAATGGAGATAATTAGCTGGAAATCTCAGAAAACCAGAGAAAACACTCGACAATTAGCCTGAAATCTCGATCGATTTGATGTTGGACTTTGGGGCTCTAACCTTGGGAACAGTCATAGCGAGGACCTCATGCTACATTGCCACCTTTAATTCATCGACGTTTGCATTTTCAGGGAGCCTGAATCGCCTCATGAACTTGCCTTGGATTCTCTCTATCATGTGGCACTTATAATTAAATTTGGATTTTCAAAATTCGTAATTTATTAATTTTAGGTTTTATGAAAAACCGAAAATTTTGAACACTTCAATTCTTGAAAAATCAAAGTGTCATGAATTTAAAAAAATAGGTATAAATGTAATAACATAAACTTGAAGTTAATACAATAATAACGATTAACATAATGGATATATACGTTATTTTTGTTAATATTTAAAACATTTTGTCCTTATATTTTTTCTTGTGCGTCCCATATTTTGTAGTGCGCACATCCAAAATCTCATTTCAATCTAATTTGTATTTTTACGATTAAAATTTCGTATAATGATGTATATTTCTAACCATCCAATAAAAAACTTGTCGATTGGGAATCGATCTATATTATCATTCATTTTAGAAAGGAAAAATTACGTATATATCCATTATAGTTTTCGTTATTACCAAAATACCAAATAGTTTCTGTTATTACTGGAATGTCCGTTATTTTCACTTCATAGCAAATTTTTAAAAAAAAAGTCTGCTTTACCCATTTTTGGTTTTTGAATGATCGAATTTGTTGGATTTTTGGTTGTTCAAAAACAGAAAATTTTAAATTTTTGGCTTTTGAAGAGCCAAAAATTTAGAATTCTAGATTTTTGAATAACCGATAATTTCCTCGCGAAAACACTAAAGATATGAGCATAAAAGAGCTTTTTTATATATATATTAGGGTTATAAAAAAATTGTGTCCCCCATTATAGTATCCTACACACTTTTCTGTCCCCCAATACAGTATCTCACAAAGTCAAAGAGATTGGCTCTCGTTTGGTTGTGATTGGTACCTCTCTTACTGTTGCCTTATACTATTGATTAATTTTATTACAATTAATGCAATATTATATTTGTGTATTACTATTTGTTGTGTATTGTTGATTAATAAATAATATTTGAAAAATATTGTTGAATTTGTTTATTTGTATAATGTTTTGTTATTCACATTAATATTTGTTGTTTGTATTAATATTTGTTGTTTGTATTAATATTTGTTGTTTGTATTAATATTTGTTGTTTGTATTAATAATGATGTATTAATATATGTAGTACTACACTATATTGTATTTGTTGTTTTGGCTAAATATTGTTCAACTTGTTTGTTTGTGTTAATATTTATTGTTTATTTTGTGTTTATTTTAATATTTATTGTTTTTTGTTGTTTATTGATTAATTGACTTTTTTAGTAGTACACTATGAAACAATGCTAAGTCACATAGATTAAACCTCCAAATAAGTTATCACAAGTTTACATATCGAATGAGCTCTCAAATAAATCTAATCACGAATTATTCTATCCAAAACATTGAAGCATGTATGCATAAAGCTATTTATTTCCTATGTACTCCTAAAACCACAAGCATTTGCAAAATGTTAAACGTAAATCTGTACTTGAATCATAAATCACGTACAAACTTTCATTTTTAAGCTACTCAATCTATCAGCAAGATAAATCAACCCTTTCCTAAGATATCACTAAATCTATCACAAATTTGTACTTAAAATTATCTAAGAGTATCAAAGTTAACACAATACAATATAATGTAAAATCTGCCAAGCATTCAATACAAAGCAACACATCAAATTTAGAGTTCTAAAAACAAAGCATTCAATCACAGTTCTGTGAATGTTCTCACAGTCACTAAAAAAAAGTAATCACCTCAATACAACCTCTTGTAAAATTTTCGCGTTCTAGAAAACCTCCCAAATTTGTAGTTCTCAAAAACCCCAAAATTTTAAATTCTTATACAAAAAAAAAAAAAACTTAACTCAATAACTAATGTATAAATTTCAAAGTTCTAAAAATAACCCCAAATTTACTGTTCTTAAAAACCCCCAAAATTTACACATCTTAAAAACCCCAAATGTCACTCAAACAAATTGATGTACTTATGGAATTGTGAAATCCATCAAATAAACCCTAAATCGACCTCTTCTACTCAAGTATGAAACCCTAAATCATAATCTTATACAATGTAAACTTATAAAATCAAAAAACAAATCATTTTATGCATACCTTCACTACAGATTTGAAATCCATCAAATGAAGTTATAATCCATCGAAAATCTTGTAACCAAATCTAAGGAATAGGTTTTCTTGTGAGAGAGGTAAGAGAGAGAGAGAGAGAAATTCACAGAGAAGAGAAGGTGGACCAGTGGATCACCAAAAGATGAAACCTGAAGTTTAAACAAGCCCTGCCTATTTTCGATTGTTCAAAAATTGAAATTAGCTTCTTTATCGGTTTTTGAACAACCAAATAACTAGGGTGGAAGTTAGTGAAAACGCTCTCTCTATTTAACCCATCTCTCTCTAATCCAACTCTTTCTCTCTCTATCGCCTCTCTCTCTCTCTCATGTGAAAATTTTGAACATTTCAGTTTTTGAAAAATAAAAAATAGGCAATTCAATTTTTTTAAAAGGTGAGAGAAAATATATATATATTTGAATTTTTAAAATCCAAAAATTATTAATTTTCAGTTTTTGAAAAACTAAAATTTTGAACACGTCGGTTTTTTAAAGTGTGATGATGTTGAAAAAACACCGCTATAGATGCATAACAAAAACTTTGAGGTAATCCCATAATAACGATAAATATAACAGATATACATTATTTTTTCAATTTAAATAACCAAATTACTCCTAAAATGAAAATTTTAAATGGAAAAAAGTTTATATACAATCAAGTTAGAGCCCACCTAAAAAATTTCAATAGAAGAGGTTGTTTTGATGCCCAAATATCCTCAAATTGATTATCTCAGCATCAAGATGGTTGGACATGAGAAAAAAAATGGATTTCAAGTTTTGGAAATAGTGTTTCTTGTAACACATTTTTTTACCGTCAATTTTCAAGATTTACAAATTTTCATAGATTTGCTCGATCTACACTATTTTTGAAACATTAAATTTTATAATTCAAGATGAAAATAGATTTTAAAGCTATCACAATGATTTCTAATATTGAAACCACATTTCTCGATACTATTTAAATGTGCGCTTTCCTTTGATTGTTTAGAGCTTCGGCTCAACACAAACCGCACCCTTTTAAATAATGGGGAAATTTTTTTATATGATGCGCAATAATATTAAATATAGAGTAATAATCCTATAAGACCCTCCCCTATCTACGTGTGTAGGACTTCAAAATATCACCATTAAAGTTGACACACATCTTTAGAAAAGTTATCATATAGATGTGAGACTTGATTTTTTTTAAAATATGTACCAACTTTAACGATGATCCTTCAAAAATCCTACATACATGGGTGGCAGAGGGTCCTATAGAATCATTTCTCTTAAATATATACAACTAAAATTTGAACTTAAAACAATTTGTAGAAAAAAGACTATCGTCCATTATAGCTTCGACAGTTAGAAAGAACCTCTATTATTGTCCATTACAGCTTTATCCTTGTATCAAACTTAGAGGTCTTATCGTACGGGCCCTTTGTATAAAGCTGAGGCTCCAGACAATCAAAAAGTAGAGGTCTTACGGTAGAGCACACTTTGTATAAGGCCGAGGCTCTAAACTATCAAAGTAAAGCACACCTTCATTGAGAAATGTGATTTTTATACTTGAAATCTTTGTGAGATAGCCTGAAGATATAGCACTTTCAACAAAGGAAATGCAATGATGGCTCTAAAATAAATTTTCTGCACCGAAAACAAAATTTGAAACTAAAACAATAATATAGATCTTGAAACTAAAACAATAATATAGATCTTGCGGATCCATAAACACTTATCTTTAGGGCGAAATGGTCAATCTAAAAAATTTATTAAAATATACACTCTTTTTAAAGTTTAAACTCCTACAACCATAATGTTCAAAATATACACTATTTTTTAAAGCTTGAAATCCTACAACCATGATCTTCAAAGCGGCGATGATCGATGTTAAGGTTTTCCAATGCTTGACTTACTTAGACTTACTTAGCTAGGGCTGCAGCCTTATCCATCCATTTTTCATATACATATATAGAGGGAGGGAAAGAGAGAGACAGAGGAACCTACTATTGCCCATCCACTTCAAAACACTGCCTTCCTAGAAAGAATGCATTCAACGTTTATTTAGTTTACAGTCACAATCTCATACTACATTATTACATCGGACATGGGCAGCATCTTCCCACGAGAGCCTCACTGTACACTCTTTTGCACAGCATCTCACTGCTCTCCACATTCAACAACCATTCAAACATTATGCTTGAATACGGATTGCATTCGGGCCGAATCCAAATCAATACCTTTTCAGCACATTCCTTATGAACACAATGCTGAAGGTACTGAACAGGGTTTTATACTTCCTCCACCCTGAGAAGAACTTACCAATTACCACCCTATAACTATGCCTCGACTTGACTACCTTCCAGTACTCCTCAATCCCGGGCCTGCAACTGATATACTTTTCTCCAAGGCCCAAGAGCTCTATGCGTGCAAGCACAGGAACAAACATAGCATCAGCCATCGAGAACGCATCCCCACAAAGAAAATGTGTCTCTCTCAGCTGCCTCTCAACCTCATCGAGAAGATGGTCAAGCTGCTCCTCGCTCCTTCTCACAAGAGCAGCATCCTTGAGCTTCTCCTCAGTCTCGTAAGCCTCACGAAGCTTCATGTGGTAGAGGCTCGCGAGATCAGGAGATTCGGCCATTCGCGCAATTACCACCCTTCGCGTGAACCTTGACACAAATAGCCTGTGTTTGTCAGGGATGTGGGCCAGGGTGAATGTTTTGGCACTCCAAGCTTGTATTTTTTTCATCCATTCCTCAACTTTTTCTTGATTCGAGTCCTCACAGAAGCCTTGAGTGGACTCCACAATCCTCTCGATGTACCTAAGCAAACACAGAACACTCCTGCCTTCAATGACTCTAGCAGGGAAAAGGAAACTATAAGGGAAAAGTACATTCTAACCCATTGGAAAATTAAGGAAACATACTCCATTGGGTATCAGCATCATCAATTCAAAACGATGATGGGTGAATAAGAGTGAGACCCACCAGAATAGGACACGACCATAATGGTGGATCATCCTTTCATCCTCCATCATTTGAATAGACAAGGATGAACAAGTACACTTTTCGTAACTGTAAATTTATAAAAGCAAGGCTGTTGAGATGTACCGGATTATCTCGAGGGTTTCATAGATGACACATTCACCATTCCTGAAAACTGGAAGTTTTGCTGATGGGTTCAAGCGGAAAAATGTGGCATCCATATTTCTGGCTTTGAGAGGATTAACCTGATACGAAGTGTAGTCTATGCCTCTCTCCTCCAATGCCAGCCGCACTTTTTGACTGTCCAGAGAGTAAGGGTGGTGGTAGAGCTGCATTATTTCCTCAACATCTGCATGTGCAAGACTGGGACTTCTGGATGAGAAAGCTCAATGTTTCACAGTGAATAATGAATATCCCAGTCCTCAAACTTCTGGGGCAGTGAAGAAATATTCAACAAAAATAAATAATATCCAATTCCTAAAACGCAACCATGTATATATATTTCAAGAGACATGAATTTGTGTGCGTATACTTTTGTTTTCCTTCCCAGGCAGCGCCATACATTTTACAACACAAAACTTGTGAATGTGTCTGAAATTGCATGAAATGCAAAACCATGATTTAGATATCTTTCCATAATTACCAGTTGAATAACTGGGATCCACATCCGGAGAATAAATTATTATTTACATGATGATGTAATCCAGATGGCTGAATGAAGAGATTCATCTTTGTAAGCACAAAAAGAGATTATGAATTGACATCATGAAATACTCAAAACTGACACATGAACTTACAACACCTGTCTCCTCATCTGGTCGATTAACATTGCTTAACATTTGCTAGTTCTCTAACATAATCGTAGAACTCACCAGGCAGCACTAGTGTTCCATCCCTCTCAAAGAACATAGCAAACATCAGCAACGAATTCGAAGTCTCTTGATGCAAGGTGGGAGAAAAAAAAAATAATCAGAAAAAGAAAGAAGGGTGAGAGAATATGCCCTCTCTCAAGGCCTCAAAGGTAGTCTAAACCCTCCCCCAAGAAAAAGGTCCCTTGATGAGACTAAAATTACTCAACTTCTTCTCCCCTTTTGCACTGTGAAAAACCTCATATTTATGAAAAACCGAAGACAAGCCTCTAATCCCAACCATCGGCCCCCATCTCATGTTATA